GCCTCCTCCACCTGGCAGGAGGAGGGGGGAGTGGTAATACCCGCCGGAGAAAGGCCAAGGGTGACGTTTAGGGCTGAGCACCTAGGCTCACCCCCTTGGCAGCAGGGGCCCCCCCCACCCTGCCGCAGCCCCCACCGACTTCCGGAAGCCATTTCCTAGTTTGCAATTTTTAACCTGACGAGGGGAAAAACAATTAAATTTGGGACTGGAAAGTAATCATATTAACAGGACCTTATTTTAATTAAGCAAAAGCACAAATGTAAAGGGAAAAGAAATGCAGGTTATGTCCTGGCATCACCCCTTTTTTTGGAATGAGGTCCCCAACGTGCCCCTCCAAAGCTCCCCGCTTCCCAAGAGTCTTGCCCCCACACAAGCAGACCCTCACCTTCTTCCTCTTCGCCTGCAGCACATCAGCAATTGCAGGCGAGGAAGCCTGAATCAGAGAGGGACTGACGTCCTGCACCGGGGAGGGAAGGAAAGGTCCTTCGGTAAGCATGCCCAGGGGAGGGGAGGGGAGGGGAGGGGAGGGGAGACTGCTCTTGTCCAGGGCTGTGGGGAGAAGCTGCCCAGGGAAATCCCAGGGTGGAGCGGAGGGACTGCAGCCTCATCCCAGGGGCGCTAATGGATCCCAAGAGGGAAAAGGTGGCGGCTCGATGGGAGCCTGGGGCCCAAGTCTAAGACCCCGAGGTGGCATTCAGGATGCGGCAGCAGACAGAAAAAGCTGTTACCGCAAAGACCGAGCTGCCCGTTTCAAGAAACCAGGGCTTAGTACAGCCCCCCAGGAACATCTGGGAGATTATGGGTCCGCAGAGCGCAGAGACGGGATCCATCTGGCCCAGGGCTTCCAGCACTTCATCTGCATCAAAGGGGTCCTCTTCAGGGATCTGCGGGGAGAAGGGGGTGGGGGTGGAGCAGCGGCAGCCTCCCCAGGGGACTCCCCATGACCTTCCTGCTTCAGGGCCCTTCACATTGGCAGAGACAGTGGCCTGCGTTTGGAGGAGGAGAGCTGGAGTGGTCTGCAGTAGCAAAGATCAGAGCCTGGAGCACCGTCTATGACTCAAAAGCTCAATCAAAGGCAGAAACTTTGGCCACACCTGAACCTGGGACTCAGGAAAGCCCATCTGGCGGGGAAAGCTGCTGCCCGTTATTGACGTTGCCAAGCCCCGTCCCTGGTCAAGGGGGACCTGGTGATGATGTCAGGCCAGGAGGTCCAGCTGGGTCTGCAGGGGCAGAAGTAGCCTGCTGGAGGCGCAAACTACCTGCAGACCGTCAGCTTCTATCTCGGCTCTGCCTTTGCCCGCGTGAACAATCACCAAGCCTCTTGCAGAGAACACCCCCCCCCCCATGTTGGGGGCCCCAGGGGGGCTGGGGG